GTAAATACATCTATTTTTAAAAATGAAAATAGTATACTTGGTGTTTAAAAAGCCATTTCATTGACAAGTCACACTGGTGGAAAAATAAAAAGCAGAAAAAGAAGCCATTTGATAGCTACTAATTTGGATTTCAAGTGTGAAACAGGTTTTAAATGCATGAGAATGATAGCACAGATAGTTTTAATCCTTATAGATTCCATTCCAAGCATGCTATTTGTACGGTGCTATTATATTGGTACAGGTAATATTTTGTCAGAATCTGCATGAGGGATATAAAAATGTTTTGTCAGGTAATACCTCTTTGAAATGAATACCTCTTTAAAATGAATATGCTGCCAAAAATCATACATCCAATCTGCTGATGCCAGAGCTAATGCATCGTTCACAGCGGTGGATTAGCAAATGAAAAGAGGTGCTCTGAACCCAGTAGAGGAAAATAGAAAGTGTCAAGAAAATACTACCATCCTCCTTTCTTTCATCCAAGCTCTTAGATCTTTGTGTGGTGAGGCCCCTTTGGGGATACCCTAGTAACTGTCTGAGCTTCAGCTCCAGGCAGGAGTGCAAACTGGAGATCTCTGGGGACAGCAGCCTGGCTCTGCAGCTCCTGCTTTCCTCTGTGCCGTTGCCTCTGTTGTCCACCCCCTACTGATTTCTTTCGTAAGTAGACAGGGTAAGTGGGCCCCCTACCCTAAAATATTAATCTCGTGATCTGTCATTCCACTATGCTGGTTTCACGTCTTTCTATTTTTAAAAAGGTCTTATCTTTGAGAGACCCCCTTTTAAAATGCAAATACCCCTGGGAGAGGTCAGACCTTAGTTCTTAGCTAACATCTTGATTATCTCTTAGCACCTTGGTTGGTCTTAGTACACATTTGGCTGAGAAGAAGGAATCCCTGGCTAAAAGTGATCAACTAGAAGGAAACTAGCATTTATAATAATAATTTATTATTATTTTATTACTATTGGCAGCTAAGATGTACTGAGGGCCATATTATTAAGTGCCAGGAGTTATTCTAAGTTAATTCCCTCAACAACCCTATTGGTATTATTACCACTGTTACTTTACAGATAAGAAAACTGAGGTATCTAGCACATAGTTTATGGCCACATAGTAAATCCTGTCAAGTGTTAAACTCGGGTATATAGATTCCAGGGTGTGCTCACTAACCGTTTTACTTTAATACCTCTCTTCTACCGTGATGTCTCTCAGGTGACATCTAATCAAGATTTCACCCTTTTCACAATTTTGTATAAATAGAATGATGTGTTTAATTATAGATGCCACTTCTTTTGAAGGTCAAGTACTTTATTATCTAAATAGATTTTTTAGCAACAGCTTCAATGAAACAAGCACTTTTTTTGTATTCAGGGGAATTTATTTGCAGAGTAGAGAAAGGAGCAAAGAGGCTAGTGCACAATTTAACACATACATAACGCTATCTGAGTTGCTTTTCTTTAAAACGTTATTTTTACAATTTTGAAAGTATAGATTAATAAAGAAAGTACAGAATTTGCAGTCCCATTACCCAGAGATAACCTCAGAATAAATGTATGTATTATCACCAGACTTTTTTCTTTTTTCTGAAGGTGTTAACTCATTCTACATCTTTAAAATTTTGAAATGAAATGATCTTTTTTGAGAGTAAATGCTGGCATTTCCTTCTTCATCTCTGCAAGGCTGTTGAACTAATAATTATTTTTGGCCTGGCATGGTGGCTCACGCCTGTAATCCCAGCACTTTGGGAGGCCAAGGCAGGCGGATCATGAGGTCAGGAGCGCAAGACCAGCCTGACCAACATGGTGAAACCCCATCTCTACTAAAAATACAAAAATTAGCTGGGCATGGTGACGTGTGCCTGTAATCTCAGCTACTCGGGAAGTTGAGGCAGGAGAATCGCTTGAACCCAGGGGGTGGAGATTGCAGTGAGCCAAGATAGCGCCACTGCATTCCAGCCTGCGCAACAGAGTGAGACTTCGTCTCAAAAAATAAAATAAAATTATTTTCTATGATTTACCAGAAATATGTTTAACTAAATTTTCTCTGCGTTCTTTATTCTATCCATTTTGAATCAAAGGTAATACAGAGCCCTAGATTCTTCCCTTAACCTCCAAATTGAGTAAGTTCTCTCAACCAATGTTTATTAAGCACTAATTCTACCTCTGCTGCTCCTTCTTCAAAACTGCTATACTCCTGCAGCTTTAATTTCCTTGTAATTTCTGGACTGTTAGTGTCTCTTAATCACTCATCCCTTCTCCAGAGCTCTTTGTAATTCAGATCCCTCTGTAACCCACAGATCTGATCGTATCATTCTCCTCTACAGATTTCTTCAGTGGCTCTATGTTGCTCATAGGCCCTAGAAGCAAGCTTGGGGATGATTAGCGCAAGTAATTCTCTGAGTCCCAGGTACCAGCAAGTGGCTCTAGAAGGGGAGTCGCTGGTGTGTGCAGACTTCAGGTGGCCACATGTCCTTGGCTTTGCTGACTACACATTAATGGAGGAGGACTACAGCAAGGAACCCCTAAAGTGGTTGTTTAGGTCTAGATGCAGACCGTGCTACTGTGTGTTGAGAGTAGACCATTCGTGGCAGTAAGGACAGAAGTGCAGAGAACATCTGGGAGCCTTACTGCAGTAATCCAGGTAGGACTTGATTGTTGATTGGATCAGGTTGGTGGCAGTAGAGGCACTAAGTAAGTCAGATTCTCAGTATATTTTGAAGGTAGAGTCAACCATTTTTCCTGAAGGATAGATTTAGAGAGAGAGAGAGTCAAGGATGACTCCAAGGTTTCTTGCCTCAGTACAGAAAGGTATGGGATAGTGGAATATATTAATCACTGATGTCTCAATTTTACCATTAGCAACTATTGTCAAATCCTAGGTGTTCTAATAAAATAGCATATTTGACCAGATTTTAAACCTCTGGAAATTTTGAGAGAGAGAAGTAAATTTAAAATGTGCACTTAAAACGTGTGTGAACATGGGGGTCGGGCACGGTGGCTCATGTCTGTAATCCTAGCACTTTGGGAGGCCGAGGAGGGTGGATCAATTGAGGCCAGGAGTTCCAGCCTGGGCAACATGGTGAAACTATGTCTCTACCAAAAATACAAAAATTAGCCAGGCGTAATGGCACATGCCTGTGGTCTCAGCTACCGGCAATGCTGAGGTGGGAGAATCGCTTGAACCTAGGAGGTGGAGGTTGCAGTGAGCTGAGACTGCACCACTGCAGTCCAGCCTAGGTGACATAACAAGACCCTGTCTCAAAAAAAAAAAAAAAAAGAAAGAAAAGAAAAAGAAAAAAAAGAAAGAAACGTGAACATGTGAGAGTTGGGACTGGTCAGTACCTGATACCTAAAAATTAAGGAACGATTATGAGATTTTACAAAAACACGTGGGAAGGAACCAAATATCAACTGCTTTTGCAGTTTTCCTGAGGCCTGGAGGTGGCACTTGCAGGTACCATTGAAATTCACAGTTTCAACTGCCCTAAAAATTTAATGCCTTGGTCATGATACGTAGGGTGTTTTTAGTGTTCCGTAACTAGGTCTCCACTCAAACCCTGAAATTTGTCTTTGATTTGTATTAAATCAATGAAAAAGGTGTTTTGTGATCACGACTTTTTAAATAAGATTTCTGTTCATTACATGTAAATAACTTAGAGCAGAAGTGTTCCTGACTTTAACTGATAAAGGAACAAGTTCTGTGTCAAAAATCACGTAAGCTTTTTTTTTTTTAAATAAGCTTATAATTTCAGATAGGCTTAGGCCTGCTAGAATGTGATAAAAGCTTATTGCTACCCTCTTCATATTCTTCTTTTTTTTCTCTTTATTTCCTTGTATGTTCCTGAGAATATTCAAATACAAAAGCACTTTCTCCTCTTCTGTCTTTCTCTTTCCCTAAAGCCATCTGTCAAGTCTGTTCAGCCTCAGAGTATGTTATAGAGCTATGAATTAAAGGCAATTCTTGATTTACCCAATGGAAAAAAATAAGTTTAATGGTAATTAAATAGAATATCTAATATTATTTATTTAAATAGGGTAATTTGTTCGCTGTAGCTACAATTAAAACTACCATTTACTGAGCATTTACCGTGTGTCAGATAAATATTATCTCTCAGTTCTTCAACAATTCAATTGAAGTTGGTATGGTTTAGAGAAGTTAAAACATTTGCTCAAAATCATACATTTAACAGTGTGTGGCAAAGGTACAATTCAAACCTACGTTTTTCGGCCTTAAAACTCAGCCTTTCTTATTTGATTATGCTTTATTAACTCTGCATAGGGCTCAGAAATGTTTATAAATATTAGTGAGATATATTTGGGTCTTGCCAACCCCAGTCTTTAAGAAAAGGGGCCAGGCACAGTGGTTCATGCTTGCAATCCCAGTACTTTGGGAGGCCAGGGTGGATAGATGACCTGAGCTCAGGAGTTCAAGACCAGCCTGGGCAACATGACAAAACCCTGTCTCTAGTAAAAATACGAAAAACAAATTAGCTGTACGTGGTGGTGCATGCCTATAATCCCAGCTACTTGGAGGCCAAGACACAATAATCATGGGAGCCCAGGAGGCAGAGGTTGCAGTGAGCTGAGATTGCACCACTGCACTCTATCCTGGGCCACAGAGCAAGACTCTGTCTCAAAACAAAACAAAACGAAAAAGAAATGTAGTTTTGGAAACTGCCCTCAGACTACTGGGTAAAAACGATAGATCTTAAGCTATTTCAGTGGAAAGTGATTACTACTCATTTTTCACCACTAGATGGTGGCAGAAAGTTAAAAACAAAAGTTAAAGGTGACTCATTAGAGAAAGTGAAGTGTCTGTGCTTTCAGAGCAAGGTGGATGTGAGATTAGGGAAGTCTAGAGCAAGGGAAATGTGAGAACTGCCAATGGTATTTTAACAGCCTGGAAATTGGGAGCAAAGGACACAAATCTTTATTATGCTTGGGAAAAATATGAAAAATATTGGCGTCTTGTTTTTATTAATACTTGACATTGTTCTGTTTAGTTTTCAGATGCTTCAAGTGTTGTGAACAGAGACTTGTTTGGATTATGCGTTTCTCAGCTAGACTAAATAAATGCTAACAATGGATAAGTGCAAACATGTTGGGCAGCTGCGGCTTGCTCAAGACCATTCCAGCCTCAACCCTCAGAAATGGCACTGTGTGGACTGCAACACGACCGAGTCCATTTGGGCTTGCCTTAGCTGCTCCCATGTTGCCTGTGGAAGATATATTGAAGAGCATGCACTCAAGCACTTTCAAGAAAGCAGTCATCCTGTTGCATTGGAGGTGAATGAGATGTATGTTTTTTGTTACCTTTGTGACGATTACGTTCTGAATGATAATGCAACTGGAGACCTGAAGTTACTACGGAGTACATTAAGTGCAATCAAAAGTCAAAATTATCACTGCATGACTCGTAGTGGGATGGTTTTACGGTCCATGGGTACAAGTGATGATTCTTATTTCTTATATGACGGTGCCCAATCTCTGCTTCAAAATGAAGATCAAATGTATACTGCTCTTTGGCACAGGAGAAGGATATTAATGGGTAAAATCTTTCGAACATGGTTTGAACAATCACCCATTGGAAGAAAAAAGCAAGAAGAACAATTTCAGGAAAAATTAGTAGTAAAAAGAGAAGTAAAGCGAAGACGGCAAGAATTAGAGTATCAAGTTAAAGCAGAATTGGAAAGTATGCCTCCAAGAAAGAGTTTACGTTTACAAGGGCTCGCTCAGTCGACCATAATAGAAATAGTTCCTGTTCAGGTGCCAGCACAAATGCCAGCATCAACAGCAAAAGATAAAGTACTCTCTACCTCAGAAGATGAAAGATCTCAAAAAATCAATGACTCCTCAGTTAAACGAAAGTCAATAGTAACTCCTGGTGTAACAGGATTGAGAAATTTGGGGAATACTTGCTATATGAATTCTGTTCTTCAGGTGTTGAGTCATTTACTTATTTTTCGACAATGTTTTTTAAAGCTTGATCTGAACCAATGGCTGGCTGTGACTGCTAGTGAGAAGAAAAGATCTTTCTGTAAGCATCCACCAGTCACAGATACAGTAGTATATCAAATGAATGAATGTCAAGAAAAAGATACAGGTTTTGTTCGCTCCAGACAATCAAGTCTGTCATCAGGACTAAGTGGTGGAGCATCAAAAAGTAGAAAGATGGAACTTATTCAGCCAAGGGAGCCAACTTCACAGTACCTTTCTCTTTGTCATGAATTGCATACTTTGTTCCAAGTCATGTGGTCTGGAAAGTGGGCGTTGGTCTCACCATTTGCTATGCTACACTCAGTGTGGAGACTCATTCCTGCCTTTCGTGGTTGCGCCCAACAAGATGCTCAGGAATTTCTTTGTGAACTTTTAGATAAAATACAACATGAATTAGAGACAACCGGTACCAGTTTACCAGCTCTTATCCCCACTTCTCAAAGGAAACTCATCAAACAAGTTCTGAATGTTGTAAATAACATTTTTCACGGACAACTTCTTAGTCAGGTATGGATTTTTTAAAATCTTATTTTCATCATTGGGAGTTCATAAAGTGTAGCCTATAAAAAGGCATATTCTATGTACATCTAGTATGTTAAGCTAGTACGATTTTCAGGTCAAAATAGATTGTTTTTATAAATATGTGTAGAGAAATCAGCTCACTCATTTACAATTCCTTCTTTCATGAATCATTGGAAGTAGTTTTACATCCATGGTATCAAAAGCTTTTGGAGGGAGGGAGAAATCAGGAGACGGAGCTCTCTAGGTTACCAGTATTACATTCATTATCTGAGGGATTGAGAAGAGGAGGGTTTAATCCCAGAGGGAACAGATTTAAAGATGCTGGTATACTGGGAATGGAAATGGTGCACATGGCCTGGCGCGGGGGCTCATGCCTGTAATCCCAGCACTTTGGAAGGCCATGGCAGGTGAATCACCTGAGGTCAGGAGTTCAAGACCAGCCTGACTAACATGGTGAAACCCCGTCTCTACTAAAAATACAAAAGTTTGCTGAGTGTGGTGGCAGATGCCTGTAATCTCAGCTACTTGGGAGGCTGAGTCAGGAGAATCACTTGAACCCAGCAGGTGGAGGTTGCAATGAGCTGAGACTGTGCCATGGCACTCCAGCCTGGGTGACAGAGCGAGACTCTGTCTCAGAAAAAAAAAATAAAGAAATAAAGGAAAGAAAGAAAGAAAATGGTGCATACTTGAGCAATTTCAGGGACCAAGGAGTAGCCCTGGAGGACTTCCTATAAAACCAAAGGGTCATGGTCTGAAAGCTTTAACAATAGGTAGGGAAATTTTAAGGTAAACAAAAGTGATTCCATCTAGAATAATTTTAAATGATTTTCTTTTATTTTAATTACTGCTCAAAAGTTTCCTTTGTCATAAGGTAGACTACAAAACCAGAATCTTCTAAGTAAAGGTTCTCTATGCTGAGTGGACTTATTGGTGAAATATTAATAGACATAAGGCTCTCTACTTTCCCATAACACACAGATTTAAACAAATTTTTTTTTATAACTGAAGCTATTAGGCTTTTAGGTCATTTCCTTCCCCCTGCACACCTGCCTCTGTTCTTCAGTTCAACTTTCATTATAATAAGTCCATCTTTTGTTTTTATAGCATACTTTCCTAGAATGTTGTTTAAATATTTCAGATGTAATTCTTCTTAAGGAATAGCTATGAAGTTTATTTTTCAGTGTTTCAGAAATGCAAAGACTTTGAGTTAATTAGCAAATAAGAATTGTACTTGTGTTAACATGCAATTTTACTTCTCTATCTTTCTCTGTCATTTCCTTTTTTATGCAAAAGTTTTAAAATACACTATTACAGAATGCAACATGTAGTTGCAGGAAACCTATATAATATAGGAAATCTATATAGAAGAAAAGAAAAATCATTCTCTAATCCTATAACCCCACAATCCATAGGTAAAACTATCAATATTTTGGTATATTTTCTTCTAGTCTTTTTTCTCCTGCACATATATACATATTTTTTCCCATAATTGATCATTTTGCATTTACCTGCTTTTCCCATTTAATATTGTAATGATTTTCCAGTAATTAAAAATATTTCATCATTCTTTTCAAAACATTTCAATGTTCATAATTTTTTGTGTTTTTTTGGTATATTTCTCCTGTTTAACATAATTTTTTTTTTTTGAGACAGAGTCTCACTCTGTTGCCCAGGCTGGAGTGCAGTGGTACAATCTTGGCTCACTGCAAGCTCCGCCTCCTGGGTTCACACCATTCTCCTGCCTCAGCCTCCCGAGTAGCTGGGACTACAGGCGTCCGCCACCATGCCTGGCTAATTTTTTTGTATTTTTAGTAGAGATGGGGTTTCACCGTGTTAGCCAGGATGGTCTCGATCTTCTGACCTTGTGATCCGCCCGCCTCGGCCTCCCAAAGTGCTGAGCTTACAGGCATGAGCCATCGTGCCTGGCCACATTGTATGTTTATACCATAACTTAGTTAACTATTCCCTTATTGTTGACTGTTGTTAATTTTTTTCATTATTATAATGTCATCAATTAACTTTTTGATTTCCTTATGACAGAGTCCTGGAAGTTGACTTTGTCAGAGTAAGACTTCTGGATACTTGGTGACAAAGTTCTTTCCAGAAAGTGATTTTCTTTTCTCTCTCTCTCTCTATATATATATATATTTCCAGTAGTATGAGAGTGGCTCTGTGCTTGTTTTTTCCATTATAAATGAATTTTGAAATTAATAAAAATTATTGTACCAGCTTTTTGCTTCTCTTTCTTTAATACACTCTTATGGAACTGGTTCTCAGGAGATTTAAGACAATTGGTTGCTGTAATGGCTTTTCCTTTTTATTTATTTATTTTTTGTAGAGACAAGGTCTCACTGTGTTGCCCAGGCTGGTCTCAAACTCCTGGGCTCAAGCGGTCCTCCCACTTTGGCCTCTCAAAGTGCTGGGATTACAGGCATGAGCCACTACACTCAGACTGGGATAGCTTTTTGTGTGTTTTTGCTTTTGTTTTTGTTTTTGTTTAATTCGAGAAAATCCTCAAAATGTTTGGCCCTGGCACTACTGAGTCCTTAGACTATAAACACCAGGAGAGTTCTTTGTGTCAATTTGTGAAATCTAAAATCTATATTAGAACTGGCTTCTTTATTTCGTTGCCTGTGCCAGAGCAATAGCTTGTATGAAAGAGGTTCTTTATAATATTTCATATCATATGTGAATTGTTAGTTTGTGGAGTCTGTCTTCAGTTATGTGCAGTATTTGTTGGTATTAAATCCTGCTGAATGTTTCACTGAAGTTACTACTCATTTCCTTTCCGGTTGCTATGTTACCTGTGTAAGTTGTTAAAACAGCTCCATGTTTTTTGTGTTTTCTGTGCTTGGATGGAGATTTTAATGTGATGTTTGCTTTAAATAGGAGTATGACATCATCATTTATGTCATATGTCTTGTCTTTTGAAATTATCAGTTGTCAGGGTCTCAAAATCTGCCTAATGAAAAGATAGTATTTTACTTGTAATATGGTTAAGATTGGATTGGGTTAAGAGATTGTAGTATTTGGGTTTAGGAAGAAAAATCAGCAAAAGATGGAGAGGCCGGGCATGGTGACTCATGCCTGTAATCCTAGCACTTTGGCAGGCCGAGGTGAGGGGATCACCTAAAGTCAGGAGTTCAAGACCATCCTGGCCAACATGGCGAAAGCCCGTCTTTACTAAAAACAGAAAAATTAGCTGGGTTTGTGATAGCTGCGCCTGTAGTCCAGCTACTCAGGAGGCTGAGGCAGGAGAATCGCTTGAACTTGAGAGCCGGAGGTTGCAGTGAGCCGAGATTGCGCCATTGCACCCTAGCACTGGGGACAGAGCGAGACTCCATCTCAAAAAAAAAAAAGATGAAGGAGAAACAGTGAGGAACCTCAAGCCTAATGACATAAGTACATTAAATTTAATGCATGTGAATATACATCATATGTATGTTTCTATGTATACATATACATACTGTGTTTCTATTCAGTGTGTCCACAGTTTGGATTTTTGCCTAAATTTAATGCCCTTAGAGCTTTTTGAATGCCCAGTAGTTAAAGCAACCAATTCATGATGGCTCTGATACCAGTCTTTTGGAAGGAAAAATCATAAGGAAAGATTTCCTGACAACAATATAAGGCAGATTATTCAGAATTCTAATGGTGCATTTTCATGAGAAAAGCTTATTTACTGGCAATGATCTCTAGTGAAAAGAGTTAATGTTTTGACGGAAAGATTATAATCTTAGGAACTCATTCTCATTTGCAGGTTACATGTCTTGCATGTGACAACAAATCCAATACCATAGAACCTTTCTGGGACTTGTCATTGGAGTTTCCAGAAAGATATCAATGCAGTGGAAAAGATATTGCGTCTCAGCCATGTCTGGTTACTGAAATGTTGGCCAAATTTACAGAAACTGAAGCTTTAGAAGGAAAAATCTACGTATGTGACCAGTGTAACTGTGAGTAAAGATGGTGTGTTCTCGGTGCTTTCCTAGGAATGATAAAGAGAAACGCAGATGAGAGGAAGCTGAAAGAAATCTTTAGCAGTTATGAAAATGAACTTTTTTTCAGTTTGTCGAAAGAAACAGACATTTTCACTTATAATTGGCGTTTACGAACTATGCATTTGTTTGGCCATACTGATGGAATTTAAATTGTTTCTGATCCTGTAGACAATTTTGGGGAGAGGAGATTCATGACAAGTTTAAATATGATATGTGGAGCAGAATAAAATAACAAAGAGGAATAATGAAAGGAAAGCATGGCATGTAGTGTGAATGAAACACTTGTTTTATGAGCTTTTTCTTGCTACATATCAAAATGATATGTAGATAAATGTATGTGTGTGTGTCTATACACATAAAATAGGAAATACCGTATGCAGGACTCCTGCTGTGGAGATTGGCTTCGTCAAAACAAAGATTTATTCAAAACCATGCCCTGTCTGTTCTGTGTTAGTTATTCCCAGTGTCTGTAGGTAAAAATGAGATGCTGTCAAGGTGCTTACATTCCTAATGGAGGAGGCGAATAGACAGGATCCACTGTGATAAGTGCTCTAATAGAGGAGCGCATGGGAACCTGACACTGGGGGTGAAACAGCCACCTCAGTTCAAGAGAAGCGTCCTCGGCCGGGTGCAGTGGCTCACGTAATCCTAGCACGTTGGGAGGCCGAGGCGGGCAGATCACCCGAGGTCAGGAGTTCAAGACCACCCTGGCCAATGTGGTGAAACCCCGTCTCTACTAAAAATACAAAAATTAGCTGGGCATGGTGGCACACACTTGTAATCCCAGCTACTCGGGAGGCTGAGACAGGAGAATTGCTTGAACCCAGGAGGCAGAGGTTGCAGTGAGCTGAGATTGCGCCACCTCACTCCAGCCTGAGCAAGAGTGAAACTCTGTCTCAAACAAAACAAAACAGAAAAGAAGCATCTTCCTCCAAGGAAATGGTGTGTAAAACCACATCAGATCTGCTGTGTTGGCCAGGTGCGGTGGCTCACACCTGTAATCCTAACACTTTGAGAGGCCAAGGCAGGTGGATCACTTGAGGTCAAGACCAGCCTGGGCAACATGGCGAAACCCCATCTCTACTAAAAATACAGAAATTAGCCGGATGTGGTGGAGCGCGTCCATAATCCCAGCTACTTGGGAGGCTGAGGCAGGAGAATCTCTTGAACCCAGAAAGCAGAGATTGCAGTGAGCCGAGATCATGCCACTGCACTCCAACCTGGGTAACAGAACAAGACGCTGTCTCAAAAAAACAAACACACACACATACAAAAGGATCTGCTGTGTCTTACCTCCTCTGTCAATGTGTATGTATATATAGTGGGAGTTAAGCTATGAGGATACAAAGGCGTAAGAATGATCCAGTGTGGGCTGGGCATGGTGGCTTACACCTGTAATCCCAGCACTTCGAGAGGCTGAGGCAGGCGGATCAACTGAGGTCAGGAGTTCGAGACCAGCCTGGACAACTTGGTGAAACCCCGTCTTTACTAAAAATACAAAAATTAGCCAGGCATGGTGGCGGGGGCCTGTCATCCCAGGTACTCAAGCGGCTGAGGCAGGAGAATCACTTGAACCCAGGAGATGGAGGTTGCAGTGAGCCGAGATCATGCCATTCCACTCCAGCCTGGGCGACAGAGCGAGACGCTGTCTCAAATAATAATAATAATAATGATGATAATAATAATAATGATCCAGTGGACTTTACAGATTCAGGGGAAAGGGTGGGAGGGAGTAAGGGATAAAACACTACACATTGGGTACAGTGTGCACTGCTCAGGTGATGGGCACACCGAAATCTCAGAAATCACCAGTAAGTAACTTATTTATGTAACCAAATACCACCTGTTCACCACAAACCTATTGAAATTCAAAAAAAGAATAAGATATACTTACATAGTATCTTACTATTTATGTATATAATATAAACATATGGTGTAGTATAGTATACTATATAGTAAACCATACTATGGTTTATACTAGTTTATACTATACTATACTATATATATTTTTTCAGGTATTCTGCCTAATTTCCCTATCTCGCAAATAGATTCTAAGGCTTTAGATACTAAACTTTTAAGGTAAACAAAAAATAGGATATTCCCACATTGAAGAAATGCTTTATCAATTGATGGTTTCCTGGAATGACTTTAACACTTTTTTCTGAGTGCTGTCTAATGTAAACACATAAAGTAGCCTTAAATTTCTAAGGTTTTTTTTTTAAAAAAATAAAACTTTGTCAAAGTTGTTATGATGAAGTATTATTTTTTCTTGGACATAAATGTGATGAGTCCCACATGCTTTCGTCACCAAATTTGGGGGGTGATGTTATGAATGCAGAATATGGTTTTATAGCAAATTTCTATGTGTTTACTAACGCTACCAAATACAGACCTAAAAGAGCTACTTTAACACAGCAATGAAAATGTTTACAATTATACGCTGAGGAGTTGACATCCCCTATCTGGCTACCCTTGGACCGGATGTGCTAGGAGACAATCCAGAGGTAGGTCCAGGACATTCAGCAGCAGCCAGATACCTGGATGGCAGGGTTGGACACCTGGAAGAAAGACCAGCGAAGATGGCTTAGAGCTCAGCTTCATGGTCGACTGAGCCTGCTTCCCACATGAGAAGCAGCAGCTGCCATGGCTGGAGTCGGAGCTCGTGTGCAAGTTGAAGGATAGCTCCTGGGCATCAGGAACAAACTGTAGCTGATGGCCCAGCTGCAGGACAGTCCGTAGGTGGACCTCTAGGGAAGCAGAAGGGACAAGAAGAATCCTGAGTTCCAACTGTCTAAGATCTGGTGCTGAAAGAGCAAAAGCAAAACGCTTGAGTGAGGGAGGCCTCAGAGCTGGTAAAGTCCTGCTTTCCTAAGCCATTGGCCAGGGCTGGGGTGGTCCCAGGAAAAGTGGAGGGATGTTCTGGGTAATCAGGACCTTCCTCTGGGTTTCTGACTAGCCTTAGTATATGAACTGACCACACACTTTTTTTTTTCGTATTTCTTTTTTAAATCTTTTGACCACAGACTTTTAAATTAAGAGTTTGGGGCCAGGTGCAGTGGCTCACGCCTGTAATCCCAGCACTTTGGGAGGCTGAGGCAGGCGGATCACGAGGTCAGGAGATCGAGACCATCCTGGGTAACATGAAGAAACCCCATCTCTACTAAAAATACAAAATTAGCCGGGAGTGGAGGTGCATGCCTGTAATCCTGGTTACTCGGGAGGCTGAAGCAGGAGAATCGCTTGAACCCGGGAGGCAGAGGTTGTGGTGAGCCGAGATCGCGCCATTGCACTCCAGCCTGGGCGACGAGCGAAAACTCCATCTCAAAAGAAAAAAAGTTTGGGAAATGTGTATTAAAATGTTTACAGAATGTTGTAACTTTTCCTATTAATTGGTATGGCCAGTTCCATTTAAGAATACTATTATGGCCGGGTGCAGTGGCTCATGTCTGTAATCCCAGCACTTTGGGAGGCCGAGGCAGGTGGATCACGAGGTCAGAAGTTCGAGACCAGCCTGGCCAACATAGTGAAACCCCGTCTCTACTGAAAATATAAAAATTAGACAGGCGTGGTGGCATGCATCTATAGTCCCAGTTACTCAGGAGGCTGAGGCAGGAGAATTGCTTGAACCCAGGAAGCGGAGGTTGTGGTGAGCTGAGATCGCGCCAGTGCACTCCAGCCTGGGCAACGAGTGAGACTCCGTCTCTAAATAAATAAGTAAATAAAAATACTATGGCAGTATACTTTGTTCTATTACATTATATGCAAGATTATTATTAAATCATGTGCTTGATTACAGATCTAACTTGACTAGCTCATAAGTTTTTTGTTTAACTGTGGATCATGAGTTTCTCGAGGGCAAAGCCCGTGTCTGTATCTCTAGCACAGCACAATGCCTAGAACACAGTAGATACTTTTCATTTCTGACTTAATTAAAAGAAGGTTCACTCAGCTTTTCCCTGCATCTTTAAATTAAATTTGATTTTTATTCTTTCTTTGATGTTACAGCAAAGCGTAGAAGGTTTTCCTCCAAACCAGTTGTACTCACAGAAGCCCAGAAACAACTTATGATATGCCACCTACCTCAGGTTCTCAGACTGCACCTCAAACGATTCAGGTCTGTAGCAGGACCAGTCACAAAGTGATCATTCCTTGTGCTTGTGATGCTTCAAAACTTAAAGAATGCATGTAATAATTTTTTCCCCTTTAATCACCTTTCTGACAAATGAATTAACTTTTAATACCATATACTTGGCTAGTAATGATTTACATTTGCTTATTTATTTATTTATTTTGAGACCGAGTCTCACTCTGTCACCCAGGCTGGAGATGGGGTTTTACCATGTTGCCCAGGCTGGTCTCAAACTCCTGGGCTCAAGCAATTCACTCACCTTGGCCTCCTAAAGTGCTGGCTGGGCAAGGTGGCTCACGCCTGTAATCCCAGCACTTTGGGAGGCCAAGGGCAGGTAGATCACCTGAGGTCAGGAGTTCGAGACCAGCCTGGCCAACATGGTGAAACCCTGTCTCTACTAAAAATACAAAAATTAATTGGGCCTGGTGGTGTATGCCTGTAATTCCAGTTACTTGGGAGGCTGAGGCAGGAGAATCGCTTGAACCGTGGAGGCAGAGGTTGTGGTGAGCCGAGATCGCGCCATTGCACTCCAGCCTGGGCAACAAAGTGAGACTCCGTCTCAAACATACATATGTACATACATGCATCCATAAACATAAACATAAGAATAAAAATACAAAAATTAGCCAGGCATGGTGACGCATGCCTGTAATTCCAGTTACTTGGGAGGCTGAGGCAGGAGAATCGCTTGAACCGTGGAGGCAGAGGTTGCAGTGAGCCAACATCATGCCATTGCCCTCTAGCCTGAGCGACAGAGCAAGACTCTGTCTCAAAAAAAAAAAAAGAAGAAGAAGAAAAATGTTGAAATTACAGGCGTGAGCCACCATGCCTGGCAGAATATTTCTAATACCATAGATGTCCCCTGTGCGTGCCTGTCAGTCTTGTTCCTTTCCCCTCTGCGGAAGCAAACCATTAGGAATTTTAGGTATAATATTATCTTATTGTTCTTCATCAGTTTATTGTATTTCTTTCTTTTTTTTTTGGTAGAGACAGGGTTTTGCCATGTTGCCCAGGCTCATCTGGGAACTCCTGAGCTCAGGCAGTCTGCCCGCCTCAGCTTCCCAATGTGCTGGGATTACAGGCGTGGGCCACGGCACCTGGCTGAGAGATATTGGAAAAACCGAACTCAGTTTCTCCTACCATACTCTTACAACAGAGAAGACAAATGTGACCTCTGCTTACCAAAATGTGTAGGAGATTTCTCCCCACCAAGCAGGTCATCAGCTCTGCAGTGAGCGCGAGCTGGGTATCCTCTTATTCAGCTCAGTTCCAACCCTGTCTACCTGGAGGTAGCATCAGACCCCACAGATTGAGAGCTCAGTCCCACCAGACTGACCCCCACTTCTGACACCAGTCATAACTCTAGGTTTGTGGAAATTCTGACCAACCTGTTGGCTATACATTTAATGGGATTCTCACAAGCCACGCTCCCCTCGTTTGATCAATTTGCTAGAGCGCCCCACAGAACTCAGGGAAACTTTCGTGTTTACCCTTTTATTACAAAGGAGAGTTTCAAGGATCCATATGAACAGCCAGACGGAAGTCATGTGTAGGGCATGACTTGTGGGAAGGGGCGTATAGGTTCCACACCCTCCCTGGGGGTGCCGCCCTCCAGGGACCTCAGCATGGATAGCTATCTGGAAGCTCCAGAAGCCCATCCTTTTGGGTTTTTGTGGAGGCTTCAGTACATAGGCATGACTGATTACATCATTCAGCCCCATTCCCTTTGGGGGTTGGGGACGGTATTTGGAAGGAAGCCGAAAGTCCCAATCCTCTAGTCATTCCCGGGTCTTTCCTGTGACTTGCCCACATGCTGAAGCTATCTAGGGGTTGCCAGCCACTAGTTGTCTCATTAGCATACAAAAGACACACTTTTTTTTTTTTTTGAGCCAGAGTTTAGCTCTTGCTGCCCAGGCTGGAGTGCAATGGCACAATCTCAGCTCACTGCAACCTCCGCCTCCTGGGTTCAAGTGATTATCCTGCCTCAGCCTCCCCAGTAGCTGGGATTATGGGCATGCGCCACCATGCCTGGCTAATTTTTGTATTTTTAGTAGAGACGGGGTTTCACCATGTTGGCCAGGCTAGTCTTGAACTCCTGACCTCAGGTGATCCACCCACCTCAGCCTCCCAAAGTGCTGGGATTACAAGCGTGAGTCACCGCACCCAGCCAAGACACTCCAGAGATTCCAAGAATTTTAGGAGATGTATCTTAGGAAACTGGAAGGAAAACCAAATATATTTTTCACAACCACACAGAGAGTTTGGAATATGACTTATGGTCCAGCAGATAACATAATTTGCATGGTTCATCTTTAGTTCCATGCCATTTTACACTGGACTAAGCATTTTCACATTTTCTTTTTCCATCATAAAACTGTGTTCCTCTTTCTCCGTTCTCTACCTGCTGTTATTTGTCTGAAGTTCATGTTTTAGTACTTTACTACTATATTTTTATCTATGTCTGCCTTGTCTCTGTACCATACTACCACAAACTGGATTATAATCTCTTGAACTACCACGTTACATTATTTTCCCCTCGTAGGACCAACTCATTATGCGTATTGATAAATACATTGCTTGCCATGCTGAGATCCAGTAAGGGGAAGTATGAGCAACAGACTGAGAAAATGACAGGATAAGGGTGTTCTTTCAGTTCTGTCACCAGTGGGTGGTTGTGCTGACTTACACACAGCAAGGGGACACAGTTCCTGTTGTTTTAGTCTGAAAATCTCTGAAGTATTCTGAGGAATTAGAGGTGCCCTGTTTTGTTTTCCTCCATACCTTGCCAAGAAAGATCCAGATTGTAGCTCCCATCTGGGATACCCTCTTCATATCCTGGCAAGACAATAAGGAATTAAAAACCCTTTGGTGGGGCTGGGCACAGTGGCTCACACCTGTAATCCCAGCGCTTTGGAATCCAAGGCAGGCGAATCACTTGCGGTCAGGAGTTCAAGACCAGCCTGGCCAACATGGTGAAGTCCTTCCTGTCTCTACTAAAAATACAAAAATTAGCCAGGCATGATGGCGCACACCTGCAGTCCCAGCAGGAGAATGGCTTGAACCTGAGAGGCAGAGGCTGCGGTAAGCCAAGATCGCGCCACTGCACTCCAGCTTGTGTAACAGAGCGAGACTCCATCTTTAAAACAACGAAAAACAAAAAAACCCCAACCCTTTCATGGCCTTCACTTTTACCTGTTAGGGGGTAAATGCCCCCATAAGGCAATACTTTCCCAAAAGTTAATTTTTTTTCCCTACATTATCATCTAACTACAAGAAGGCAAAATAAGCCAAAACTTCTCCGTTTATAGCCAACTTCAGCATTGAAATAATTTTATATTACATATGATACTTTGTATTCCATACTGCCTGGGGTCATCTGTTACAAGTGTCTAGACCTAGTACATGGTTATTTTCCCTTAATTGTGTTGATAATTTCACACTGGTTTGTTCACAGGTGGTCAGGACGTAATAACCGAGAGAAGATTGGTGTTCATGTTGGCTTTGAGGAAATCTTAAACATGGAGCCCTATTGCTGCAGGGAGACCCTGAAATCCCTCAGACCAGAATGCTTTATCTATGACTTGTCTGCGGTGGTGATGCACCATGGGAAAGGATTTGGCTCAGGGCACTACACTGCCTACTGCTATAATTCTGAAGGAGGTATAGATAAGAAAAAGTATTTTATCTTGGGTTGGACTTGGAGGCTGGAGTTCAGGCTTTAACAATTTCTAAATTGACTACTAAATCATAAACAAAACTACTTGACCACTTACTTTCTTAGGGAGAATACCTCTGCAGATACTAAAACATGAGAGTTGATGCATGAAATATTTTCTGTAGGTTTTGCAGTACTTTTGACTAAGGGCTGGAGGAATATAATAATGAGGATAGTCTTGTTGCCAACTAAAAGTCAGAATGTTAACTTTTCTTAAAGACACACTTCAAAAAGCAGATCGTATGTTTACTGGTTTACTTCAGTTAATTTTGTTAAAGAAATAGTGCAAACTTATCCAGGTTGCGCCGGGCTGCAGTGGCTCCAGAGCCTGTAATCCCCACGCACTTTGGCAGGCTGGAGACGGGTGGATCACGAGGCAGGAGATCGACCATCAGCTGCTAACACGGTGAACCCTGCGTCTCTACTACATACAAAAAAAATTAGCCAAGGCGACTCGCGTCGGCGCCGCGCCTGTTTCCTCCCCAGCCTACTCCGGGAGGCCTGAGCAGGAAATGCGTGAACCCGGGAGGCGGAGCTGCAGTGAGCTGAGATCCGGCCACTGCACTCCAGGCCTGGGCAACAGAGCCGACTCCGTCTCAAAAAAAAAAAAAAAAAAAATTATCCGGTATGGTGGCACTGCCGTGTTCCCACTACGTAGGGAGGCCTGAGGCAGGAGAACTTCTTGAACCTGGGAGGTCAGAGGTCCGCGAGTGGGCCAAGATCGTACTACAGCCTGGGTAGCAACGCG